TAACCAGTACCCTTACCCTCCAAAGCCGGAATTACTGCTTGGCGGCAGAAATAGATATGGTGGCAATACTATAACAAAACAACGCAATTAAACAAAGGGGCGCGACTAGCTACAATCTCCGTTAGCAAACCAGAGTTTTCAAACTGCGTTAGGTTTGCTGCAAGTATTGTGGTTATTTTCGGCTCGAAATTTTGATAAGCTCTATTATTATCGTGTATGAAAATACACTGTCGTTTACTATGAGATTATAATCCAATCCAAGTTATTCATAATCATTGTGATCGAGTGCTGTACGCAATATGTTGGTTCTAATGACCACATTATCAGTGACAGTACAACGCATTTATTACTCATGGTGTCGATTAGAAAGTCCGGAATCTTCCGTCCTTGTCATTGATTGGTCGAATTTTGACTTTCTCACAAACTCGAACGAAACCAAAACAAACGCTTCAAAACAAATAACCAAAGAGATAGAATAGAAGTAGGCTCATAACCCGTAAATAAACTACAAACTAAACTTAAAACTTAATAGCGGGCCTGAAGACTTCCGCCAGAGGGGCGTGCTATAGGAGAGAATCTACTAGTGTACGTGCTGATATGAGGGGCTTTACAACCTCGCCAGTGAGGACGGTTAGTGCGTGTGGAGATGGAGGACTGATGTGCGATCTGGGGGCCTACTATGAGCTCTTAGAGCAATCCTATTTAAACCTGTAAGTTGGATTGCCTGTCAAATTCGTACTATGGCCTCACAAAAACAATTCACTGTCCATGCAGTTTACGTTCCACATTCAAAATCCGTTCACCTTTTCTTACGTAGCAAAATTTTTTTTTTGCCAGCATTTGCCATGCAGATGGCGGTCTCATTTGTAAAAATAAGCAATTGAAAAAAAGTTACTCCGTAACCAACTTTTTTTATACCTTATTTTTAATTTTACAAAGAAAACATTCCAATTTACGCTACATTAAGTTTTACAAATTATTTTATTGAATGAATTTTTATTAGGTTTAATTTATTATTAATTATTAATAGAAATTAGAATAAACTAAAACATATTAATTAGTACTGCAGTCTTATGTCTGTTTGGGATTTTTCATTAGAGGAAATACTGGATCCCAAACTGGTGGTACGGAGAAACCATCTTCCCTGTTGAAATTAGGATGTTTTTTAATTTCAATGGCCTCTCGCAGCATCCTGGGTAGATAACGGACTTCTTTTGCAAGGACCTGGGGTTTGTCAAACTTCATTGAATGTGTAGGTTTATCCATGACATGCTCGCAGACTGCAGACTTGTTTACGCGACGGTGTTTGACATCAGCTATATGTTCTTTGACGCGGGTACAAATACTTCGCTTTGTTTGTCCAATATAAGAGAGACCGCACTCACAGTCAAGCTTGTAAACTCCTGCATCCTGTAAGGGGATGTTACATTTCACGGGTCTCAGGAACTGAGAAATCTTCCTCAGGGGCTTGAAATAGGTCTTGATAGATGCACGCCTGAGGACTCTTCCGATCTTGTCTGTAACACCTCTCACGTAAGGTAAGATGGCAGGTCTTCGCTCGACTGTAGGTGGTTTCACACGGGGTCTGCGGCGTTGGCGTGGAATCCTCAACTTATTCGCATGTAGGACTTGCTTTATATGCTGAAGTTCCCCCGCCAGATGATTACTGTCGCAGACACCATATGCTCTCTGAAACAAAGATTTGCCCACGGTAGCTAACTGGCTAGGATGGTGATGGGAATTACCATTGAGGTACCTATCTGTATGGGTTTTCTTTCGAAATACAGTATGGCCTAGGGTGTTATTAGGATTTCTTTTAATTAAAACATCTAAGAAAGCTAAAGTACCACAATTCTCTTGTTCCATAGTAAATTGGATCTTAGTACTAAAAGAATTAAGATGGTCCAAGAAAGAAGGTATGCTATCTTTAGGTAATATTGTGAAAGTATCATCAACGTACCGTTTGAAAATCTTCGGCCTAGCTGGGGCCATGGGTAAAACTCGCTCCTCGAAGTCTTCCATGAAAATATCGGCAACAACGGGAGATACCGGGGAGCCCATCGCTATACCGTCAATTTGTAGGTAGAATTCATTATTCCACAATAGATAGCCTGATGTTAGGCAGTGTTCTAATAGTTCTGCATATTCAATGGACATATTATGTTCCCTTAGCTTCCTACGTACAATTTCAATGCAGTCTTTTACTGGTAGGTTGGTAAACAGCGACTGAACATCAAAACTGACCATGGTGTCATCATCAGTTAACCGTAGATCTTTGATTCCACTGATGAAATGGTATGAATCCTTCACATGTGTGGAAGTATTCCCTCTCAATGGTGACAGTACCTTTGCCATGTGTTGAGCCAGTTTGTAGGTTGGTGTGTCAATCTGGCTAACTATGGGACGGAGTGGGGTGTCAGCCTTATGTATTTTTGGTAACCCATACAGTTTTGGTGGTTTCACGGCGCAGGGCACAAACGCACTTACATCAAGTTTCAGCGTATCGGAGTGCTTAGATATTAAGTTAGTTGTTGTTTTTAATATCTTGGTGGTAGGGTCTTTCTTCACCTTTTTATACGTGCTTTCATCCGATAGTAAGTCAGTTATTTTGCTGTTATAATCTGACGTATTCATGACCACCGTCGCGTTACCTTTATCTGCACGGAGGATGACTAATTCAGGATCTTCGCGGAAGGTTGAGGATTAGGGAAGGTTACAACGAGTTGAGGATTGTCTAGTTAAAAACAACATAAGAAAGGAAGATTTGGAGGCAATACGCCAAGACGTTTCGTCAATATTGCGTTCAAATAAACAGCCCAGACCGAATCTTACTCGAGATGAATATAACGCGCTGAAGACCTTCCGCGAAGATCCTGAATTAGTCATCCTCCGTGCAGATAAAGGTAACGCGACGCGACAAACTCACCTTATTAATTTCAATGGTAATGTCGTACGACAAATTGTAAAGTATGATTGAAAAATTGCCGATATTACAAAACAAGGTAATAAGTATAATCAATGATAAAATTAATAAAAATACATAATTATTCTCATTTTGAACACCATCGGTTAATAGTGCTTGAACGCCCCCAGGATAGTACATCTGTCTATTTCTTTCATACGATTTAGTATGTACTTCCATCTCGCTCTGATTAGATGTCAGCTAGCCAAGCAGAGATTAACGTTTAAAAAGTAAAATTCATCATCCTGTCATGCCATTCCCTTTCAACTTTGTGTAGGTCATGAGACGAATTTAAGCAATTCAGTTATACCACGTCAAGTGAATTGCATGGATCTTGGCTGGCTGCTTACGCTCGTAGTAGGCCTAGATTTTGTTCGACACGAATTTCACCGCGCAGCGCCCGAGTGCGTCTAACTGTCATGGCAAAGTATGCTCTATTTACTTAGCTTTTATGTTTTTACTTAAATGAGCATCCTGGGCGCGCGGGCGAGGTTAGCTTGCCTTTGGTCTACGCGGCGACCGCGCGGTTGTAAATTATTCAGAGAAATTTAAATGTCGTTCCTAGTAAATAGAATTGAGATTCGCCATTAATGTACGTGAAAGCAATATCACAAAATTTTACAAAAATTACAAATTACGATTCGATTCAATATTTGTAATTATGAAATCGGATTTCAGAATTACAATTACTTACAGAGAAACTGGAACAGGAAGTAGCAAATGACGACACTGACTCTTGAACTAGGTAAAACTTGTATCTCAAGAGACAGAGACTCAATTGGATGGGTTCCTTATATATATTTTAGCTAACATTTGAAGTGAGGAAAACAAAAATTAATAGAGGGTGAACACAATAATATGCTAATATTTAACTTAAGGTATGAGAATGTGTGTGTATAAGAGAGTATATGTGTTTAGTGTTCGTGTGTGTGTGTGCGCGTGAGCGTGTGCGTGTGCGTGTAAAATTATTTTCTGAACTTTGACAAATATGCATGTCTATAGATGGCAATGTGTGTTACAAACTAATTTATAAATTGACGCTTCGTAATATGGGTAGATGCCGCTAATCCTAAACAAAATCAAAGAACAGTCGAAATTATTCATGAAAATCTATGGAATAAACGCTATCTAATCGATTTGTTAGTTATCACTACGCATTAGTATAGCTTTGATAAATTGCAGCTTGTCAATGTAAAACAAATTAGTTACAAAAATAGCTATCTGGTACTCGTAGCGACATCTGGTGTACAAATTAGTACTAAATACCCGACTACGGTGTCTTGTATCGCGATTAGCAGACCTCTTGAGTTTTGGTCCATGCTTTAATTCAGGAATAATACGGTTTTTTTTTACTATTACTCCATTAGACGAGCAAGATGTATACATACAGAGTATAATTTTATTATAGAACACTATTTTTGATAGCGATTCAACGTACCATTTTGTATCTTGCTGTGTTAACCAGTAATTATGGTGTAATCTACCTTTTAACTTTATAACCTGTATCATTCCCATTGTTGTGTATGCATCATGTTAGCTTTTCCATAAATAAATAATAAAAACTAAATTAACTAATTTAAAATCTGCTGCTAAAACATATGCAAAATAATAGAAAAAGAAAATATGGATAGACAAGAAAAGTGAGACACTCACTTTATAGCAGGTATGTGCCGGACGAGGAAGTTGATCTGTAGCTGCGCGCTGACCTGGAGCGGTATACCCGTGAGCATTTCTAGAGCCAACTTGAAATTGTGGTCTCTGCAAACATATGCTTTGTTTACAATGAATAGCACCAATAGTTGCTTCCACTAGAGTCAAAATTTTCATTTTGAAAAAAAAAAATATTTGCGTTATTATTCTAAGGTTTGTCCTGTATTTTCTCACATTTGACAGTGACACCTGTCAAAAGTTGTGAAAATAAAAAAGCAGAGAAATTTTCAAAGTCATGCTTATTAAAACACTAAAGATTATGTCTAAATGTAGAACATAATACGAGTCTTTGAATTTTATTTTTCCAAATTTTTCAGAAATTTTTTCTAAACAATTTTCACTAAGTATTTGAAAATTTTCGGAAAATTACCCAAAGCTAGTCGTCACTAAAATGGTTAATCACACAAACCGTGCACTTAGTGGGACATGGTGGGACAATATATTTTCGCTGCTGTGGGCTGAATTGACGATTGCAGGAAGTCCCAGCGTAATCACAAGCATAAACACCTATAATCTTATTTCCCTACATTTTATGTCCCTTATACACCACACATATTAAGATAGTTGCTGAGTATCATAAATGTTTATATCTGCCGTCCACTGACTTTAGTCACGAGGCTAGGTGACAAGCGGTCAAATTTCCGTTTTACATAGCTTAAGATAGAGTTCAAAATTCTCTATTGAAAGACAAGTATAAGTATCTAAACTATTTCAATATTTTAAAAATGACTTATGGTTTTTTTATGATTTCATCGAAATACAATTTTGTCACAGCCTAGTCGCCATTAGCCGTTTCCAGGCACCATAATATGTGTAATTTAGTGCGCAGACTTATAATACTGTAGAAAATAGAAAATGAGAACTTACTCTTTAGGATGGAGGCCTTCAATCTTGCTAGGATAGTAGGGGTCGCTAAGGTAGAAGTGAGGCAGTGAGACGAAGGCGGGGGAGTTAAATCGACAGGCGGACATGTTTAGCGCCCCCGGCGGCAGGCAGTCCCTGTCGCGGACTTCGTCACAGTAGCAAGCCTGGTGATTTACAAATGTATTTTGAAGGTAAGGGATTTTGCAGTCCGGCTAGTTGCGCTGCCACCGACGATCCGAGAAGCTAAGGGAGACGTCACACGGGGATTGCGTGGCGTTTCAACGCACCGTGTGGCATGTCGTTCTGATTTATATGTAGTACAACGCAGTTGCGACGACGCAACGCCCGTGTGGCATCTCCCTTAGTGTGACTTTGTGCAGTTTGTGAGCGTATCAATTAGAGGAGTTCCTCCTGGCAGTACTGATGCATGGCTGCGTTTCTTAACTAGAGCATGTCTATGGCGGTCAAGAAGCTCGTAATTTTTATCGAGTTCCTAGGTTTTCGCGATTGCTACACGTAGGAAATGAAACTATTTCGGATCTTAATCGCGTATATTTTTTTTTTTAAAGTAACCAGCATTTCGAGCTTTTTACAGGGTTCCGTGGTCACGGTTGACTGACCAGTAAACCGCCTGTGACCAAGAGTGACCGTAGGACCCGAAACGTCAGTTTGTTCCAAAAAACAAATCGTCTGCTTAAAGGTAAAACCACATAAGTGACATTTTACACAAAAAAAAATTAAATTATGTACCTCTTGTAAGTAAATCACCATCTTTCTGCAGATAATTAACTGCATGAAAAAATATGCAACACAAGCGCAGCTATTTTGCACGATTTAACCTTCACTGGGTTCGCGGAGTAGCAAATTAATTTACTTCCATTTTTATTAACATGGACTTCCGCAAAGTAACGCCTGAATGTATTAATTAGATAAAACTCTTATTAAGTTTATAGCTTTTTTGTTATTGAATTTCACGTGCAGAAAGATAATGATTTTCTTACCGTAACTACATATATAAAAACTTTTTGTTTAAAATGCCACTTATGTAGTTTTACCTTTAAACAGACGAAATATAGGCGATTTAGAATGGTTACACATGGCGACGTTTAGCATCGATACAAACGTGCAACTGCATCAATGCAATCGCCTATAAATCCCAAGTATAGCGATGCTATCACGCGTTAGTATCGATGTTGTCGAACGCTTGCATCGCTGCTTAGAATCGCGCGTGTGTGTAAATAAAGGTAGACGATTAGCGATTGCATCGCATTTGCATCGCGTTTTTCTAACCGCTCTTAATTCCGAAAAATAGTTACATTTCCTATCATAATTTTTAATTAAATGACTTGGGACATTTAACTGATCTCGTGTGTGACCGGAGAACGTTACGTGTTAGTTGAATTCGTTATGTGGCAAATAATCGCGGCAACTTGCTTTGATGATTGTTAATATTTTTTGTAAGCAGCATTACTGTGTTCTGGTTTTGAAGGGTAAGTGGCAGTGCCCCTGAGATCTTTGCAATTCGAAGCTCTGAGTGGCACTGCAACTGTTATGGACAGGCGTGTAGCTTACAATCAGGCGCACGACTTGATCGTCCCGTCACTTGACAGGATGGGACGGGGTACGTAAAATAAATAAAAATATATATTATGTAGTCTGTTTTGAAGATGGAGTAAATAATAGTTTATTGCGCAAAAGGTTTATTACTATATTATATACTATCGACTCAATGTTGGGCGCGCTTATGCAATAGCCGAACTTGTTTTATGTGAATCATCATCGGCCCGGCATCGGCACCTGCTGAGCACAGGTTCATTTGAATTGCCACTTTAGGACTATGCCTACATATTAAAAACTCAAAGAGGTGGCATATTTTAAAGCTTTTCATTTAATTCAATAAAGATAATCAAATTCGCCTGTCTTGCTAAAACGTACATGAATAAAAATTTACTTCGATACTAATTTTTATATAAAAAGATATAATTATTAACTTATCTGCTAAAATATGACAACGTGCTCACCGTATGCGGATAGTTCCACCCATTATCGAAGATGGATTTATTGGCGGCGAACTGCATGCCTTCGATGTTTAGCAATGACATTGGCTTGTCTTCGCTCAGTTTTATCCACCTAATAACAGAACACACAGATAAATATGACATTTTTTCGCTTTTGAAAGCTGACAGATTTTTAAAGGCGAGTCGCAGAAGAAGCGGGAAAAACTGTTTTGTTAGACCAAATGTTATTATTAATATTTAGTATTAAACAATGGTCTTGTATGTATGGATATTGTCTAAAGAATGTGCTAATTCGTTACACGATAGAATTAGATACAAAATCCTGAAAACAGGGCAAAATAAAAGTCTAAAACGGGTTACTTAAGAATAAAATACTTTTGCATATAATTTATGATAATATCATATTATTATATGAAGATATTTGTATTTAAATACTTGGTTGTCAACCGAAGCCCGATAGTTATAAATTCACATGTATCCCATAACTAGAAAATTGCCCAGTGGTTTAATGATACGCCACCGCATCGGGCGCTTCTCGGCGTCGGATCTCGGAGACGCGGGGGGCGGCCCCCACACCTCAACTCCTAAAATCTAGTCTCACGTTTAAATTTAAACCGTAAAGAGAAAATTAACTGTACTTCCAAACTGCTATCAATAAATGACCGATAAAAAATACTAAACGTTGATGCGTTGATTCCAATCACGTTAGCCTATTTATCTTATCATGAATATGCGATAAGGGTGATAAGAACTTTCGCGACAAGACGTGTTACGTAGGTGTGCAAGTGTAAATTAGCACCTGTTGAAGTGGGCGATGTGGACTGTACAAGAATGGAGTGAAAAAGGCCCCAGAAATGAGCACAAATGTAGAAGAAACGGAATAACTAAAGCCTGTAATTCACGACACACATTCAATGACAATCAAGACATGTACGTTAGTGGAATTCTCTCCCTGAATCGATTCGACGATCCCCTTCTCTTGATTCCTTCAAACAACGTGTCAAGGATCACTTCTCAACTCCTAAATTTCGTCTGTCCTCTACTATCCTTTCATTTATTTCCTACATTTGGACTTCATTTTTCTTTTTCTATTAAAAGTATATAAGCATTTAATATTATTGTGTATTTATTGTTATGTATGTATTAATAATATTATTGTTATTTGTATGTATATGTATATCTATCTATGGATATGAATATATTTTTATTATTACTTATTATGTAGTGTACTTATGATGATATTCTTTGGTTGCACCTCTTTTGCATATCCGAAATGTCTATCCTAAGGTTGCCTGGAAGAAATTGCTACATAGCAATAAGGCCGCCTGTTGCACATTGACTTACTACTACTTTTATACTTAAGCTATTGTATTGTATTTTAATTGTAATTTTATGTGCAATAAAGAATATTTCATTCATTCATTCATTCATTCATTACGTTTTTGTTTTGTATTACTTTTGAACAAAACAAAAACATAGCAAATTGAATATGCGATGCTGATGACAGCACAATTGTAGACAGGTACTTGACCAATGCAGGGAAAGAAGTGGAAAAGAAGTCCAGTCTTGTCGACAGTCCACGATTAGTCCTTGAATTTGATACTTATGGCAGTCTCCGATTGAGGCGATGCCAATGTTGTCAAATTTAACGCTACCAAAACACAGGCCTCTATTTTCCACAAAACGGAGTCCCTTTGAACTGACTTCGACTTTTTATGATATATCCATACCGATAACTGACCGCCTCCACCCACTATAACTAGGGCCTTTTCAACGCGAATGCGAATAGGCACTATTTAAGTAAACAAAGAAGAAATAACAAAACAAAGGTGATTAATTAAAAAGAAAATTAATAACATAAGCTCATAAAAACTGATATCTGTGCAAATTTTTTAAATCTATTTATTAGTACAAATAGGTATATAACGAAAAATTAAAAATATTAAACTTTTAGTGAAAAAACCGTATTTATTCTTAGTATCAAATGTAGAACATAAATGAGATGTCATTTTGATAGTGATAATCGTTTGTTTACATTTTTGATCTTTATAGTTTTGTTATCTTCATGTTATTGCTATCCCGTCGTTATATTTATGATCGTTTATTTCAAGGAAATCGTTTATATAAAAGTGGGTAGGTATAGTAAACTATTTTTTTATTTGATATGATTTAAAAATTTGAAGTGACACCTATAAGAAAGTATTGTATACAGGTGTCCTAATACAACTATCTTTTGAAAGTTAAGTGTCAGCTCACAACTAAATAGTTCAGTATTGTACCAATAGATGGCGTCTTATAATATTCCACGAAATTTTGTGTAGTGATTGGTCAGTTTTCGAAGTTGAACAAGTGCCATTGAGCATGGTTTGATAGAAAAATACGAAAACGACGGACACTAACTGTTCTTTTTTTCTTAATATATTGACATATAAGCGCAAGTGGGACTAGAAGCGATTCGCAGTTTCACAAAAATATTGCATGAGTTAACCATACATACGTGCAAAGATCAGGCACGAAGATCGTCAGCTCAGGCTGCCCGCGCTCCGGCGCCCACAGCTCGCCAGCGGAACCCTTCACCGCCCCGCACTCCCCTCTGTACACGGAACGGGTCGAGTACCTCCATTTTTCAACATTACCGAGTTGCGAAAAATCTCCGGCTCCGGTGTTCATTACGAAGGTCCCGTCGTATGTTTGTGAGCCGTTGCGCTGGCAAAACACAAACACAGATATTTTGTTACTTTGAAGTCTAGTTCCACGCAACAGCAAAATAGAAGGACTAGATTATAGATCTTCATTTGTCAATGTGTTCTATTAGCTGAGACTTTGCTAGAAGGAATAATTTAGTACCTTCTGTTTGATAATATAAAATGTTACCAAACAGAAAGTACTATTTGTTTTGAAGTATGTACATTATTTAATTACATTACTAGAGAATGAAAAAAACCAACCTCAACAGTCATGTATCCCCTAGTTTGCCACCCTTAGAGTTGGAACATCTTCTTCAAATTTAAATGGGACCACTTCTGAGGTCAGTTTGTTAATTTTTGTTGGGAAAAAATAAGTGCGTATTTAACCTCTTTCTCACCTGATGGAAAGTGACAATGAAGTGACTCGTATTACACTGTCGTGTTTGATGTGAGATGAGAAATATGCCGTTCAGTACCGAACTTCTAATCGCCAAGATGAGCCGTTATGGTCTGAGTGGTGATGTTTGTGACTGGTTTCGGTCATTTCTTACGAATATAATGCAATATGTGAAGTTACAAAATGAAAGAGGTGACATTATTAAGTCCGAGATTAAAACGGTACGTAGAGGCACGCCACAGGGATCTATTCTTAGTCCCATTTTATTCGTACTCTACACCAGTGACCTCGTACATACTCTCAAATATTGCAATGTTCATTTGTATGCCGACGACATACAAATTGACCACTGTTTTCCGCCTACTGATGCGGTGAAAGCTATTAATGAACTGAAGCAAGACCTAACTAGTGTAAGCGAAAGGGCTAGTCGAAATGCGCTGGTTTTAAATCCTAGTCAACTAGCCAGATTAGGCCATTATCGCCATTTAGGCCACTAAAACTACTATTTAAAGATCAGAGGTGCGCGTGCAGCTTAAAATCCGTAATGCCTTCTTTAGGCTTAAACTCCTATACATCATCATCATATCAGCCGGAAGACGTCCACTGCTGCCGAACTTCTATACAACATTAGAAAATTCCTGACGATAGAAATAAGAAAAATTCTTGAAAATACACAAAACGCAATTCAAAGAGTACAAAACGCTTCTGTGCGTTTTTGCTATAATGTACGTATGCGTAACCACGTTACTCCTTTCCTGAACGTTAATGACGTTCTAAAGATGAACTATCGGAGGGTTTTGCATTTGGCATATCCTACATAAGATTGTTTTTACAGTGTCCAAAATACTTATATAACAAATTAAACTGGTTTAGAGACGCTCGAAGTAAAAATACACGTAGTAAAAACACCAAATTATTGTATATTCTGCGTCATACGACTGCTGGCTTTAGAGGGGGTTTTAAGTATGCAGCAGTCAAGATCAGCAGGCTTAGCATGAGCCCGAAGACAAAGTTATCTCTTCTTCGAACTGTCAAACACTCGAGATTTTCGAGAGAAAATTGACAGTTCGAAGAAGACATAACTTTTGTCTTTGGGCTCATGCTAAGCCTGCTGGAACTATATGCCACCACATTTGCGATGCAAGTATGTCCCAGCAAAGTTTTATATCCAAACCAAGGAAAATACTTTTAACTGTTCAGAAGGATGCTGAATCACCCCAAAATCATGTCCATCAAAATTATGTTTTAAGTAAATTTCAGACATATCTCATATCTGTTTGGGTGCTTTTGTTTTGTTTCTTTTTTGTTTCCCTTCAAACATTTTTTTATTTATTTTTGTGTTTTATTTTTTCGTGTAAGTTTTTTTTGTTTTCTTTTCTCCTTTCGCGCTCCTCAGAGATAACCTAATTATTGGTCTGTGTTAATTTTACTTTATAAATGATATGTTACTCGAACAGGACACCATAACTCCTGACTAGGAGGTTCTGGCTGAAAATCAGTGGTGTGCAAACCAAGTATACACAGCATATACTGAGTTCAGAATCCTCGCCACACATTTATGACCATAGATAAAGTATTGTGTTTTCAGTTACTATTTAAGACTTTTCAGTAATTTGTATGTTTCATGTTTTTTGTGTATGTGTTTGTGTGTGTGTGTGGCAAATAAATGGAAATTGGAATTTGAATTTAGAATCTATACCGAGGTCTTGTTACGACCAAATTTCGCAAAAAACAAATGTATATCGTACTTATAACATTAGTGACATTTCAGAAAACTAACGTCTAATTCTTGACATCCACATTTTTACTGGCGTAGTGTACTATAATCGAAGGGCTGTAGCTCAGATGCATTGCGAGAGGTACTTTTAATAATATAAACCGGGATTAACTTAAAACTTTGGTTTACTTCACCATTTTTTACATATTTTTTTAGTATTGCGTTACAAATCAATCATCTTACTATGATATGTCAAGATCTTCTATTTTCTTAACATTCTTTTTCAAAGAATTCTAAATACAAACTAACTCATTCAGCCAGCAATTCTACTCATAGAGTACGGCCTAGTCTACATCCCTCTTCCTCACAGCTGAAGGGGTGAATATCCCTAGCTGGTAGTCTACCTATGATAGGCAACTTACATCGGTGATCAGCCCTTACTACAGGCTAGCCACACACTGCTCGGAAGCTATCAACTTACCAACAAGTAACCACCGAGGAGGCTATGGCTTTGGTCTGCCAAAAACCTATCTAAAAGGACAGACCATGACCACATCCTAAACAAACAAAAAAACATAATTACTCGTTAGCTATCCTAGCTAATTAGGGAACCTGACTAAACCCTAACACTTTATTTTAGCGACCCTAAACTGGCTGAACTATCCTAATAAAAATTCTAAACATCACTACAAGTTCCTAACTATCTCAGCCTAAGCTATCTCCAACGTGGACGCTGCCACAACGACGACACAGGCTTGAACATCCATCGGACGATCACTGGGTTACATCACTATTGATCTCCCAGCTGCCTTAGTCCTCATTTTGCAGCTATCACGTTCCATCAGCTTCACTTATCATCCTTAAACAACAAGAACCAACCCACGTATAACGTCAACAACATATTCTAACTACATGTCCTCAGACATACATATGGTATGAGGGTATACCACATGAAGAATTTCTAATAATTAAATAAATATATTTTCCCAGAATGCAGACAGTCCTTGATCAACTGGAGGGATGAGCAGGAACTATTCGCACATACAGGACAATATATCTATCAAATTAAAAAAAAATAAACAAGAACAAATAAGTTTTATCTGTTTGATGGTGTATCTTCTCCTCCCTTCCTTCCAAGTCTGCATGTACAGGAAAATATCAATTTTTCTCCAAATATTTCTCATAAGGTCAATGTCGTTCCACATGAAAAATAAATATAAAAAATTAATTAACCTAGTAGCAACAAACACATTAAATTCCCTCATATAGAACTTTTTCATCCTATTCACATGGAGTAAATTCTGCCTACACAACCTTTTCCTATTCATACCTAATCTGCACATAATACAATTAATCCTACTCAACCAATTCACTACCCTAACCTTCGCGTATCATATCTCTTAGATAAAGCAATCCTGTCTTTCTTGTCAAACATTCGCTTCCGATGCGATTGTAAACTATCTATACATTCCTTACGAGAACTCATCGAAGCTGCTCGTTTTACGTAGTCACTTCGCAGATTCGCCACATTACTTACGCGAACACGATTAGAAATGTCGCTTTTCGAATTGTATTTTATATATATTTTCGGCAAATCATAATTATAATTATTTATATCTAAATCCCGTTTTTGACGCAATTGACACGTCTTATCACTCACGTCAACATTACTTATCATCTCTGGCAAAACCGAGAAGCCATCCAAACTTTTTGATACGGTTTTCAAAGGAGACTTTTCTTTCTTTGGTCCAATATCTATCATGGACTTAGAAGAAGAAATTTTATTGTCAATTTCTACTTTTGACAACTCGAAGCCACATCTCTTCAAAATATCTCGTCCCAGAATTAAATATTCTTTAAAATCGTCTACAACCAGCAACTTCGAAGGATAATCGTTCCCATTAATTATCAACGACATCTTGGTGGACGACTGCACATTTATTGGCGTTGCACCCACTGTACGTAATGGAAAACTTGGACTATCATCGATACGTAAATGCAACCTTTCCGCAAAATAACGAGAAATAACTGAATTTGAAGCATTAGTATCCACCAACGCCTCGCAACATACATCATTAATAAAAACAGATATAAAAGGTGCCCTATCTACGCTAGACCTATCAATTGTAGACAAATTTTCTACATGTTCAGTTGCACTTTTCTGACAACTACGCTGAGGAGATCCCGACGAAGATCCACTACTATGTGCTCGTGAATACCCTTGACTTGGCGTATCCTGCTGCACAACTGGTGCCTGTGGCACTAAATCTTCCGACTGCTTAGACTCGGGTCTAATTATCGGTGCAGAGACATCCTGTGTTTGCCAACAGCAAGAAGGCTCCGTATTACAATTCACTGGCAATTCAATATCTTGTCTCACATTATAGCTGTGATTAAATACATCATCTACTTGGATAATTGTTTTCCTCAACTCCTCTTTCGATACATACAAATTGCTAGCCAGCATCCATTTAAAATTGGGTATCAAAGATTTCAAAAAATGCTTCACAAACTGAACATCTTGAATATTCGCTTTCCTTGCTAATTCATCTAAACTATAAAAATAACTTATAAGCGATTCACTATGCCCCTGTCGCCTATAATAAAATTCTCGGGCGTAATCAATTTGTGAGGGAAATTCCTCTCTCAACCTCTGTGCAATCACATCATACGACACGTATGAAGAAGAATACGTTTTGTACCATTGCAGAGCTGGCCCCTCCAAATACAATGCAAACACGTATTTCTTCTGCACATCAGACCAATTATTTAATATACTAATGGTCTCAAATTGGTTCAAAAACTCATCTACGTCGTTGAACCCATTAAATCTTTGTGCCGGTACACCATACATATTTCCTCCTCGCACTTTTTACTGGCACCAATTATAAATCAATATTAAATA